AACATAAGAACATTTAATGTCAGTGTAGCAAATGCAAAACCTCATTACATTTAAAAGTGGGAGGACTTCTAGGATAAACAGTTCAATTTGATGACTTACGTGCTTATTGCAATACGTGTAGCAGATCTTGTATGTCCAGCATCGATCGCTTCCGTGCTCTGGCCGTGCCCAGGTCAGTTTCAGGTAGTCTCCTTCTTCTGTGACGTTCGGCTTTAGGGAGGGTACCACTGAGGACATTGCAAAAGGACAATTTTATGTTAACTTGTACTTGGCAGCAAAAGAAAACAAAATTAATTTCCTGGTTCTGAAAAGCATTTTAACAGACAATCATCTATATTTATTTTCACCAGTAATAAACCATTAGAGGTCACACCAACCAAGTACAGCTCTAAAGGTGCTCATTACAGCTTCAGTCTCCACAACGATGCAGACATCATCATGGGGAGGTCCAATGTTCATCTCACAACCATTTCCATCGCTGTAAGGCCGATCACACTTCTTAAAAGTTTTCAGACTTTCTTCCAAAATTCCACAAATCCTGTAATGACAAAATGAGAAGGTGATAAGAGAAGTTACAGCTAACACACAAGCTGTATTCAAAGTATTTCATCTAAATAAAAACAACGCAAAATTGCTTCGGAGTCCTGCAGTTCCTTCAGTCGCCACTAGATGTCAATAAAGCTCATGGATTATCTGCTGCTAATTAGTATCCATGTGGACTGACGAATGTTCCTGAATTATGTTACTATATTTACAACACAACCAGCCCTGAATGAAGCATGAAAACCTCATCCCCATGAAAGCTTTTTTTTCAGATACTGGATTCTTCGAAGATACACAAGCTAGAAAGGCTATAAGGACAAAGTGGGCTGACGATGATTCACCTTCCGTTTAATTGTGGAAATCTCTGATGTTTGATGTTGTCACTTTAGAGGAGCTGAGATACCATGTTGGTGGGGGGGCAGCCTTTTGTAAGAAATTAGAAGAAACCACTCAATCTTGTAGGAAGTGCAGTTTGGCATGAAGAT